TACATTCCACGAGGGGTACCTGTTACCTTTGATCGAAAAAGAGATATCGGTTTCAAAATGAGTCCTCCGAATGCTCTTTTTTCCTGCCGCTGCTGCTGCTCCTAGTTCTTATGTTTTTTTACTCGATATCATAAAACAGCGACATTTCACGACGTTCAGGCGATTAGCTAATCAAATTCTGGGTGAGGTTATTCATCCCCTTCATTCTGAAGTAGTCGCTGCGAAGTCCTCCAGTTCCATGCGCCAAGGCTTTCGGCACATCCCTTGCCGTACATCGGCATACCAACATTCTGTTTTGCCGTTTCTGGTACGATGCCTTACGTTTAAAGAAAATAAAATATAGAAATTGATATTTGAACTGTCTCTGTCAAAGATATCCAGTTTTATGCGAACCTCCTTACTCTTGAATCCTTTGTAAATTTGTAGCCTTGTCAAAATGAATAAAGCCATTTTTGTCGGGGATTGGGAATTATACTTTCAAAATAGAGCATGTTCTTCTTCTTCCTCTTCTTCCTCTTCTTCTGTCCTAATCCTAACTCTAACCCTAACACTAACCTTGGCCCTAATCCCGACCCGAAACTTAATTCTAACCCTAATCTCCTTGTAATTTAACACAAGGCCACCTGCATTACGCGGCGGGATTCCTATAGTCATGTCCTATCAAAAAGCACGACCCTTTACTATCGCCTCTGGCTTAATCAGCTTATGCCCACGGTGAGATCATTATGAACTGACCGTTCTCAACCTTCGACGCACGCTTGGGAAAATGACTTCATTATCAGCCGGGATTTATAGGCACTGAATCGAGGGACCATATACATGAAACTGATAGATGGGGAACACCTAGAAGTATGTAGATTTGGATGACTGTTCCACCGAGACTGCTCTGAAGCCAAGAAACACTAAGTATCCCACATGACGAAGGCTTGGCGTCGGTGGGGGGTGTAAACTGTGAATGGACAGAGGCCCAACGTATGTATGTTATGGGAGCTGGGTACCAAGACGTTTATTGTTAGATACGTCAGTGTTCCAGATTCTTGCTGATGGCGTCTTGTTGGGAGGTCAAAAGAGATCACCAGAGGCGATTGAAAAGGCTTAGCACTGAATTTGTCATCAAGGAAGGTTCTGTTGTTTCGCGAGCTAAACAAAGTGGACTTTTGTCCAAAATATGAAGGATGCCCGCACATTGTTCATTCCATCATAGATTTCAACATATTTTTGGGTTAGTTGTTATCGTCAAACAGTTTTACTGCAATTACCGCAGTAATTGTTTTCCCACCGTCTCTGTTCAAAGTTATTTTTCCCTCCAACGTTGGCATCGTGCCCCTAGTGATCTGCAACGCTTTCGGTGTCGGTGGCGTAAAATATCTCCGACCACTTCCCGTTTTTGTCACAGTTCCTTGCCTTTCCCGAACACACCTATGTTATGGCTTTAAGTGGAATACATTTTCGGATTTTGACCTTCCCTTTGTACTTCTATCGATCACCTACAAATTTTCAATACAGCGATTGGAGGCAACCGGAAGTTTTATCCAGTAACAGAGATCGATAGGTTAATCCCACGATAACAGCAAGTCAAAATTAGCCGAGTAAAACTAGCACAACAGAAGGAATTTCGGTGTCTTCGACGCCCGAGAGGAAACAAAGGCAACAAGTGGAGAAGAGTCAAATCATGAAGCCGAAAATCATACCATGTTAGGAGTGTACCATGTAACGGTCAATAAACATTAATCTAGACAAAATTAATAAGGGCAAGTTTGGAAAATACCTAAAAAGAGGAATAACTGCAAAAGCTGTGCACAAATAAAAAGGTAGGTCACAATGGTTACAGCACAGTAATTTTTCTCACATCATATTGCATTTTATGCAAACATGACTGATAGGAGTTGTGCCCGCTGTCACCAAAAAGAGCAGGCAACTATGCCTGTCTACTCATCTAGTTAGTTGAATGTCGCGATCGATCGAGTTAGTCACTGTCCTGTGGTTGTTGTGGAGGCAACTTGGGGGAAAGTCATCATAATTACTTATACTTTTTCGGCATCTACTTCACTCTAATTCTCATCATCGCCTCCGCCTCCTCCCCCCGTTTTCTAATGGCAAGACAAGGTCAGGACGACCCTCGAGAAGGTCGTCCTAAAACAGAAGTGAAAATGTTGACTTCTTTTTCCCTTCATTCGGCACTAACATTTCAACGTGGTGGATAATGCCCATTAGACAATAAGCGTTCCGTGAAGAAAAGCTGTGAATAAAGCATGCACATTCGCCTAAACAAAGGCAAGTATGACGCTCAACCGATGGCCGAAAAGCTGGTTAGTTTAACTAGTCATAGAGCATTAAGATGTTGGACAGGATTAATGCTCGGACGTGGTCGGAGCCACGACAGCGAAGCAAAATGATAATTTGACCGTCACGAGCGATTAGGTCCACCGTGGGCCCCACAACAGAGTGGATGCAGGGACGGTGACTTGCGTGCCAAATAAGTAATAGTGATAGTGGCCTTTCGCAACTTCCATCACACTCTCTCTTCCCCCACCCAGCTGAGCCCGGTGTCAAGACAGAGTCATGAAGACCGCAGGTGTGATACGGTGCAGCGTTTGACAAAATTAAACAGCCCGTCTACGCGTGCCACGCGCGTCCGATCCGCACGCGACTGACAGCGGCGGCTCGAATCTTAACTAAGTGGGAATGGATGAGTATACGAAAATGAATGAAGTTCCTCTTAAATGATAGGATATAATTTATTCTCTACCCCCGAGAGCTTGCGCACGAAAAGCGAATGCAGGAAAGCAAACTCAATTACCCACTTGAGGATGATTCCTGCAACATCTAAGCGTGAACAAGGCTCACTTCCGGGCCGTCCTTTTTCTAGTTTTGCTAGCTAAATCTTTAGAAAATTAAAGCAATTCTTCTAAGTTCGAACGGCTAGAGGCGGAAATATAGATAACTGAGGGCACAAAGATACAACTACTGTTGCTTAATCCAGTGCGTCAAAATTTAGTACATCAAAAAGGGCACTGTAGAAATCGCGTAACTCCCTTCCAAGGACTATTTCTCTACCCTCAGAAACCTCTGTTTGAGACTAGATGATACCTTTTGCTGCCTATTGCTAAATTTGAAATCGGCATTTTTTACAAACTCTTGAGCCTGAATTTTCAATTATTCGTTAGTAGCAGCCCCTCAACGGGCACCCAAATGCCCATGAGGGTGTACGCACCCATATGTCGGTAAAACAGGCCAATGACTGACTGGTTTAACTGGTTACAAATAGACGGTAAGTTAGGCACCCCTACTTTCTGGTGGATAAGTCTGGCACGGGCTCGGAGCTGAATGCCCTTCTGGAGATGCCACAAGCGGACGCAAGCTCACTAGCAATAAAGCATCGAACAAATAAACACGAGCCCAAGGTTTCCGTGAGGTGCAGGCTCTCCTAGAATAATGTCCCTCGACTTCCAGGGCAGCAAGAACGCATCAAACTTCAAATTTCTGGCCACACGAACAAACCCTCCGTAAGGACCCTAGAAACCTCGCTCCACATTTCAACGTCTCAAATACCCTATCTTAGTAAGCCTTACGGAAAGGTCAGAATTAACATTTGACCGACATTCCTCTACACACATAACATTCAACGAACTCTAACCAAGGGCTATACCACAATGACAACGGGTGCCAAAAGGCTGCTGTGAGGATAAAAAAAGACTTCTTGACGAAAAACATTTATTTGTGGGCGAAATTGTTCGAAAAACAAGCAAAGGGCCCAGGAGTGACACGATGGGCACACGCCTAATACTCCTCGCCCTCTTCTTCACCCTCCGCCTCCACACTATCAACGCCAACCTCCTCATAGTCTTTCTCCAGGGCTGCCAGATCCTCACGGGCCTCCGAAAACTCTCCTTCCTCCATACCCTCACCGACGTACCAATGCACAAAGGCACGCTTCGCGTACATCAGATCAAACTTGTGATCCAGACGTGCCCAGGCCTCCGCAATTGCCGTCGTGTTGCTCAACATGCAGACGGCTCGCTGAACCTTTGCCAGATCACCGCCTGGCACCACAGTCGGCGGTTGGTAGTTGATGCCGACCTTGAAACCGGTTGGACACCAATCCACAAACTGGATTGTCCTCTTCGTCTTGATTGTCGCGATGGCAGCGTTCACATCCTTCGGAACAACGTCGCCACGGTAGAGCATGCAGCAAGCCATGTACTTGCCATGCCTCGGGTCACATTTAACCATCTGGTTGGATGGCTCAAAGCATGCATTGGTGATTTCGGCGACACTCAGTTGCTCGTGGTACGCTTTCTCGGCAGAAATTACGGGTGCATACGTGACCAACGGAA